TATCACATACTATAAATATATGAATAAGTTTATCAAATATTTATATTAAATACTATATGTATATATGAATAGGTTTATCAATTTTTTATATCACATACTATAAATATATGAATAAGTTTATCAAATATTTATATCAAATACTACATATATATTAATAAGTTTATCGAATATTTATATCAAATACTATATGTATATATGAATAGGTTTATCAAATTTTATATCACATACTATAAATATATGAATAAGTTTATCAAATATTTATATCAAATACTACATATATATGAATAGGTTTATAAGGCAGTCTGTACTGTACAATAGATTGTATACTCTTTTGGGTTACAATAATTGTATCACGTTTTATATGTCTGGGGCGACTTTAACAAATTTTGAAATACTAAAAAGGAAAAACAAAAACTGTAATAACTGTGATGCATCTTCCTAGTAGTTTGAAATAGTTGCATTTCAAAAATGTGTTTATCATTCAAAGGAGGAGCTACAAACGCCAAAAATAAACACAGTAAAGGAGTTAAACAATATAATTCTAGCATAATGTTCATTTTATGAATACTACACAGAGAAAAACATGATAATATCTCCAATTTAGAGTGCTTTACGATTTTAAATGAGAAGAACTCGATTTTTCGTAAATGTTTACTTCTCCTAATTAAAAAAAACATTTTCTAAGTAAAACTTAACATTAATTAAAATTAATGCTACATTAATCAATGTTTTCAAACTTTATCTAAAGTCATTTGTATAGAAGATTACTGTTGACAAGAGATTATGGTTTTAAGCCACATTTCCAATATATCAGTGTAATAGCAAAGTTAATCTTACCTATTGTTTTGTTAAGCTATCCTAACTTTATATCTGTTATTTTTACCCATTGTGTTGTTAAGCCATCTTACCTTGATATCAGTGTAATAGTAAGGTTAGTTTTATCCATTATTTTGTTAAGCCATCTTAACTTCATATCAGTGTAATAGTAAGGTTAGTTTTATCCATTATTTTGTTAAGCCATCTTACCTTGATATCAGTGTAATAGCAAGATTAGTTTTATCCATGATTTTGTTAAGCCATCTTAACTTCATATCAGTGTAATAGTAAGGTTAGTTTATCCATTATTTTGTTAAGCTATCTTACCTTGATATCAGTGTAATAGCAAGATTAGTTTTATCCATTATTTTGTTAAGCCATCTTAACTTCATATCAGTGTAATAGTAAGGTTAGTTTTATCGTGCTCCTTTTAGTAGAGTTTTACATGACAGTTTTGTCGACGATAATAAAAGACAAACCAGTATTGTTAATACACACCTTTCAATATATAATATATTGCAGCTATTGATCTCTAATAGATTAAAATTATCATGTCCTAAAGAAAAACGAAATCTTCTAGAATGGACAAAGTAACATAAAAGCTAAAGTCACACGTTCAGAATGTGTGCTTGAACGTGTGCATCGGTCCTGCAAAGCTTTCCTGTAAGTACCATAAAAACTAAGGGTATGAGTGCTTTAGCGCGTACATTGGTCCTGCAAAGTTGACCTTTAAAGGTAGAGAGTTGTGACAGAATTCAAAGTTCTGCACTGTTCAATGGGAGACGTATATATTGTACAGGAATGTACAAGATGCAGATTATGTATGTATATATATAAAACTGTATAATGATTAGGCTTAAAAATGCCTCTTTTTTTAGTTTATATTCTAATATAACAAGTTTTAAAACAAGGCTTCGATAGTTTAAACTTCCCCCTTTTTTTTTCCACAGAGGTCGTTGTGCCTTTGAAAATATTTTCACCAGAAAATGACATCATTGACAAAATTTATTTAATTATCGCATATTTCTCTTACAGCAAGTGGTGACAAAAAAGTTAGAATGGACTGCTGAATCAAAGGTTAGATCATTGGATAACGCTACGTACAAACCTGGCGGTGGAGGAAAGAAAATCCCCACTCAGAAGATAGAGTGGAATGTGAAACCTAAAGTAGGAGCTAAAAATCTTACTTACACACCAGGTGGAGGCCAAGTTAAGGTAGGAACTCAAACGTTTAATTAAAAGGCAAATGCTAAAATAAAAATTAAAATTAAACTTTTACCTAACTAAAAGGGAAGGTTTTTGTTTTTGAATTTCGCGCAAAGCTACACGAGGGCTATCTGCGCTAGTCGTCCCTAATTTAGCAGTGTAAGACTAGAGGGAAGGCAGCTAGTCAACACCACTCACCGCTAACTCTTGGGCTACTCTTTTACCAACGAAAAGTGGGATTAACCGTCACATTGTAACGCCCCCACGGCTGAAAGGGCGAGCATGTTTGGTGGAACTGGGATTTGAACCCGCGACCCTCAGACTGCGAGTCAAGCGCCAAAAACCACGTATCGCATTTATGTAATACATATGTTGTAAGTAACCGTACCAGGCCTACACGAGTGAAGATAGGAATTTGGTTAAGGGCTAGGAAAATGCAATTACGAACATATAATCCGCATAGACAAAATACTGGCAGAATGGAGCAATAGGTTCATTAGTGGTTGTGAACATTGATTACACTACATCTTTATTAAAGCTTAGCCATGGTTGAGCAAGCTCTTCAGGACACCAGTTATTGAAGTTAATCTACGTCTGACTAAGTTATGCTAAACTCTAATCAACTTTACATTCTGAAAATATAATACTTAATTAATAGCTAAGAAACTAATTACTTTGGAGTTGGTTTAATCAAATTATTTACAACTAGCGAAAGTATCCGGCTTGCTCGAGTTATTTGGTTGATATATTCTAGATGACAATGTCAGTATGTGTATTCTGAACCTATTGTAGCATAGAAGAACAGTCAAAAATATTTTAAACATTTTTATTTCCTAGAAACACAAAAAATTCGAAAAGGTACGATGATAATAAAATTATTATAGATAATTATAGATGTCTCTATACGTCACGTTATCTAACCTGTATAAAAGCCATTGTGTGTCGCGTCGCGTCACGCTTGATTTTTGACCAACTTATTCACCCTATCGCCATGTTGAGAAAAACAGTGTTCAGTTATTTGGTAACCAAAACTAAAATGCCATTGATAAATCAAAAATTCATACTGAATGTTATTAAGAAAACTATAGTCATTATTAAATACCTTATAAAGTGTCACTGATGCACCAAATGGTTTTTATATTTGTTGTTTTCTGTCTGTCTGTCTGTGATTTATATCTATAATTTGTAGTATAAAGAACCACTTATTTTCTATGTGGTTTTTCTCTAGCTTGCCTCATTAAAAAGATGTGCATGCGCGCACGGACGTGGATAGCTCATAATACCCAGGTGTAAACCCTCAGGGCCCACTTAGTATGGGTGCAACATTTCAAGTTTTTAGGTTCTTTCCTCTTGGAGTTATAGCGGTCACACACAGACCCACAGACACGCCCTTTTATTATTATAGATGGTTCTTTAGGTAGCAAATATTTCTAAATTTGACTAAAGCTTTTCTTCTTATCGATTAATTATAATGGAGCATATTTGGTTATCTTGGAATTTGTTCAATTCACTTATTGGCAAAAAAAAGAAGCTAAAACTGTTCAAATATATCGTCAAATGTTATAAGCCGGTATGTGTAGCTGGCTTGGTTTCTTATTATCGCAGCTGAAACATAGCTTTAGTCTTAACGAAGAGATTATGAGGAGTTGAAAAGTTAACGTTGGATCAAAAAGCAAGGGATCTATTATAGAGCTGAAAAAATATGAATATCGCTAATGCTACATGCTTTGGTACACACTTATGAACTACATTTTAATAAAGACTGTAAGTAAACGAAAGTTAAGAAAAAATCAAAAAAGATCGTATATCTACCGCACAGTCTGAGTATTTTGAACTAATAAGAAAAACATTCTGTAAGTTCTAAATAGAAAAAGTTAAAAAAATCTTACATCTAAGGTACAGATTCAATAGAGAAAGAGAGATAGAGATAATATGTTTAAAAGCTTAAACCTCAGGGATAACCTGCAAGTACAATTAAAAAGTTAGAACTTATACCAAAAAGGCACAATGAGATATCAAACGTTTTCACGATTCTTCTAAATTGTTCTTACTTTACTCTTTTTCTCAAATAAGGATTCTCCAGAAATTTATGAATGATTTGGAAAGCTTACGACCAGCAAGTAATACAAATTAAGAACTGGACTTGGTTGTGATTTAGCGTAACTGATTTGACGTACTTTAATACTTTCTCCAGTCAGGTTCAATGTTGGAGGAAATTAATATTTCCATTTCTGGTTTAATTAGATTTTAATTTTGCTCGGAATCATTAAAAGAACATACCACACTTGTGTTTCAAATATGAAAACAATTTGTAAAATATTTCATTAAATTTACTGATAAGAAAAAACAGGGGTTCGATTCCCCGTGGTGAAAATAGCGTACATAGCCTACTGCGCTCCCCGATGGCTAGGCGGTGAGTCTGAGGGCCTATAACGCTAGAAATCGGGTTTCGATACCGTAGAGGAGAGGGCATAGATAGCCTGTTGTTTAACCATGTGCTAAACAGCAGACAAACAAATTTATCGTGTAGCTTTGTGAAAATAAGAAATAAAACATATTTTAACCTTTTTTCGTTAATAGTTGAGGTGAGTATGTTTAAAGTTTTTTTTTTCTATTGTAAAAGATAAGCATGTGAAGCCTAAAGAAGGTATAGTAAATTCTACGTTATTATTATTATAATTCTGAAAAACGGATAACAACATGATATTTCTTTAATTTTGGGGTAGTGGAATTTCTGAATAAAATATGCCGTAAATAAATAAGCTTCAAATAATTTTACCATAATAAACGTATTTCAGATGAAAGTAAAATTATTGTTTGAAGAAAACATTTAAAAACTACATTTCTTAACATGTATAATTATATGTTACAGCTAAACACCTCCTTTGCAGTCAATATATTAAGGAAGTATGCCGTACTGTGAATATTTGAATAGAGATTGGTGGGATTAGAATTGGGATTGGTGTTTTTACTAAATTAAAATTGAGGTATCGGAAATTTGAGTAATGAATCTCGTAGTTCTCACTTTAATACTTTGTAAGATTTGTTTGTTTTGAATTTCGCGCAAAGCTACATGGGGGATATCTGCACTAGCCGTCCCTAATTTAGCAGTGTAAGACTAGAGGGAAGGCAGCTAGTCATCACCACCCACCGCCAACTCTTGGGCTACTCTTTTTACCAACGAATAGTGGGATTGGCCGTCACATTATAACGCCCCCACGGCTGAAAGGGCAAGCATGTTTAGTGTGACGGGGATTCGAACCCGCGACCCGCAGATTGCGAGTCGAGCGCCCTTAACCACCTGGCCATGCCGGGCCACTTTGTAAGGAATATGAAAAGAAAGATCGAACATTCCAAATGAGTAGAGTGAATGTGAAAAGAAGACGTTAATTCTTTTTGAATTTTAGACTCACAAGAACAAGAATAACAGACGGTTTTAAGTGATAAACTGAGTGATTTAGTATCTACTTATTTTTATTTGCGTTTGCTCCTTTCTACGAAAGTTTATAAATTTAATTATTGTACTAACCATGTTTTAACTACGAACTTTATCACTTTAGGGCTGGAAGTGACATTTTTTTTTATAATATCTTGAAAATGTAATTGAAATTTACAGCATCATTAAAATCTTGCATAAATTTTAAATGAACTGGTAGGTTAATTTGTAGCCTTTTGTGATTATATAAAGTAACAAAGAGGGATTTTTTTTCTTAAGATCGAATCTCGAAAATTGGAATGGAAGCCAAATGTTGCATCAAAGATTGGTTCCACAGAAAATATAAACAATAAGCCAGGAGGTGGTCAAGCGAAAATGAAAACCGAAAGGGAACATCTCGAAGAAAAGGATCCTTCTCCAGTAATCTCCCTCCCTACATCTGAGAAGGGTGATGAAACAACGGTAGAAAAACCAAGCGTGTTTTATTCTTTGTTGTGTTATTTTCTTCGATACATTGCCAAAAAAAAAAAACAACAACAAAAAACTGACGTTTCTATCTTATAGATTACACAGGCCTGCGATGGTTTTATTGTCTTGAAATTTGTACATGTTCTACAATAATTCCTGTACGCTGAATCCGAAAATGATATCTATTTTTTTCCATAACGTACAGATTTTTCACAAAACGTCATAACGCAATACATAAAGGAAAGACCACAACACGTAGTTTTGAGACTAAAAGATTTCACAAAAGAAAATCAGGATAAATCAGGATCCATATTAGTTTGATATCAATGTTCTTCCCTTTTCTTCAGTTTGTTTGTATTTT